ACATGATTCGATAATATTGACTGTTTGCTTACATGATTGTGTAATATTGACTGTTTGCTTACATGATTCTATAATATTGACTGTTTGCTTACCTGATTCTATAATATAGACTGTTTGCTTACATGATTCTATAATATTAACTGTTTGTTTACATGATTCGATAATATTGACTGTTTGCTTACATGATTCTATAATATAGACTGTTTGCTTACATGATTCTATAATATTGACTGTTTACTTACATGATTCTATAATATTGACTGTTTGCTTACATGATTCTATAATATTGACTGTTTGCTTACATGATTCTATAATATTGACTGTTTGCGTACATGATTCTGTAATATTGACTGTTTGCTTACATGATTCTATAATATTGACCCTATTTGCTTACATATTCTATAATATTGACTGTTTGCTTACATGATTCTATAATATTGACTGTTTGCTTACATGATTGAATAATATTGACTGTTTGCTTACATGATTCTATAATATTGACTGTTTGCTTACATGATTCTATAATATTGACTGTTTGTTTACATGATTCTATAATATTGACTGTTTGCTTACATGATTCTATAATATTGACTGTTTGCTTACATGATTCTATAATATTGACTGTTTGCTTACATGATTCTATAATATTGACTGTTTGCTTACATGATTCTATAATATTGACTGTTGCTTACATGATTCTATAATATTGACTGTTTGTTTACATGATTCTATAATATTGACTGTGTGCTTACATGATTCTATAATATTGACTGTTTGCTTACATGATTCTATAATATTGACTGTTTGTTTACATGATTCTATAATATTGACTGTTTGCTTACATGATTCTATAATATTGACTGTTTGCGTACATGATTCTATAATATTGACTGTTTGCTTACATGATTCTATAATATTGACTGTTTGCTTACATGATTCTATAATATTGACTGTTTGCTTACATGATTCTATAATATTGATTTGTTTGCTTACATGATTCTATAATATTGACTGTTTGCTTACATGATTCTATAATATTGACTGTTTGCTTACATAATTCTATAATATAGACTGTTTGCTTACATGATTCTATAATATTGACTGTTTGCTTACATGATTCTATAATATTGACTTTTTGCTTACATGATTCTATAATATTGACTGTTTGCTTACATGATTCTATAATATTGACTGTTTGCTTACATGATTCTATAATATTGACTGTTTGTTTACATGATTCTATAATATTGACTGTTTGCTTACATGATTCTATAATATTGACTGTTTGCGTACATGATTCTATAATATTGACCATTTGCTTACAATATTCTATAATATTGACTGTTTGCTTACATGATTCTATAATATTGACTGTTTGTTTACATGATTCTATAATATTGACTGTTTGCTTACATGATTCTATAATATTGACTGTTTGCTTACATGATTCTATAATATTGACCATTTGCTTACAATATTCTATAATATTGACTGCTTGCTTATATGATTCTATAATATTGACTTGTTTGCTTACATGATTGAATAATATTGACTGTTTGCTTGCATGATTCTATAATATTGACTGTTTGCTTACATGATTCTATAATATTGACTGTTTGTTTACATGATTCTATAATATTGACTGTTTGCTTACATGATTCTATAATATTGACTGTTTGCGTACATGATTCTATAATATTGACTGTTTGCTTACATGATTCTATAATATTGACTGTTTGCTTACATGATTCTATAATATTGACTGTTTGCTTACATGATTCTATAAATTGACTTGTTTGCTTACATGATTCTATAAAATTGATTTGTTTGCTTACATGATTCTATAATATTGATTTGTTTGCTTACATGATTCTATAATATTGACTGTTTGCTTACATGATTCTTTAATATTGACTGTTTGCTTACATGATTCTATAATATTGACTGTTTGCTTACATGATTCAATAATATTGACTGCTTGCTTACATGATTCTATAATATTGATTTGTTTGCTTACATGATTCTATAATATTGACTTTTTGCTTACATGATTCTATAATATTGATTTGTTTGCTTACATGATTCTATAATATTGACTGTTTGCTTACAAGATTCTTTAATATTGACTGTTTGCTTACATGATTCTATAATATTGACTTTTTGCTTACATGATTCTATAATATTGACTGTTTGCTTACATGATTCTATAATATTGACTGTTTGCTTACGTGAGTCTATAATATTGACTGTTTGCTTACATGATTCTATAATATTGACTGTTTGCTTACATGATTCTATAATAATGACTGTTTGCTTACATGATTCTATAATATTGACTGTTTGCTTACATGATTCTATAATATTGACTGTTTGCGTACATGATTCTATAATATTGACTGTTTGCTTACATGATTCTATAATATTGACTGTTTGCTTAGATGATTCTATAATATTGACTGCTTGCTTACATGATTGTATAATATTGACTGTTTGCTTACATAATTCTATAATATAGAATGTTTGCTTACATGATTCGATAATATTGACTGTTTGCTTACATGATTGTATAATATTGACTGTTTGCTTACATGATTCTAAAATATTGACTGTTTGCTTACATGATTCTATAATATTGACTGTTTGCTTACCTGATTCTATAATATAGACTGTTTGCTTACATGATTCTATAATATTGACTGTTTGTTTACATGATTCGATAATATTGACTGTTTGCTTACATGATTCTATAATATAGACTGTTTGCTTACATGATTCTATAATATTGACTTTTTGCTTACATGATTCTATAATATTGACTGTTTGCTTACATGATTCTATAATATTGACTTTTTGCTTACATGATTCTATAATATTGATTTGTTTGCTTACATGATTCTATAATATTGACTGTTTGCTTACAAGATTCTTTAATATTGACTGTTTGCTTACATGATTCTATAATATTGACTGTTTGCTTACATGATTCTATAATATTGACTGTTTGCTTACATGATTCTATAATATTGACTGTTTGCTTACATGAGTCTATAATATTGACTGTTTGCTTACATGATTCTATAATATTGACTGTTTGCTTACATGATTCTATAATAATGACTGTTTGCTTACATGATTCTATAATATTGACTGTTTGCTTACATGATTCTATAATATTGACTGTTTGCTTACATGATTCTATAATATTGACTGTTTGCTTACATGATTCTATAATATTGACTGTTTGCTTAGATGATTCTATAATATTGACTGCTTGCTTACATGATTGTATAATATTGACTGTTTGCTTACATAATTCTATAATATAGAATGTTTGCTTACATGATTCGATAATATTGACTGTTTGCTTACATGATTGTATAATATTGACTGTTTGCTTACATGATTCTAAAATATTGACTGTTTGCTTACATGATTCTATAATATTGACTGTTTGCTTACCTGATTCTATAATATAGACTGTTTGCTTACATGATTCTATAATATTGACTGTTTGTTTACATGATTCGATAATATTGACTGTTTGCTTACATGATTCTATAATATAGACTGTTTGCTTACATGATTCTATAATATTGACTTTTTGCTTACATGATTCTATAATATTGACTGTTTGCTTACATGATTCTATAATATTGACTGTTTGCTTACATGATTCTATAATATTGACTGTTTGCGTACATGATTCTATAATATTGACTGTTTGCTTACATGATTCTATAATATTGACTGTTTGCTTACATGATTCTATAATATTGACCAATTGCTTACAATATTCTATAATATTGACTGTTTGCTTACATGATTCTATAATATTGACTTGTTTGCTTACATGATTGAATAATATTGACTGTTTGCTTACATGATTCTATAATATTGACTGTTTGCTTACATGATTCTATAATATTGACTTGTTTGCTTACATGATTGAATAATATTGACTGTTTGCTTACATGATTCTATAATATTGACTGTTTGCTTACATGATTCTATAATATTGACTGTTTGTTTACATGATTCTATAATATTGACTGTTTGCTTACATGATTCTATAATATTGACTGTTCTGTTTGCTTACATGATTCTATAATATTGACTGTTTGCTTACATGATTCTATAATATTGACTGTGTGCTTACATGATTCTATAATATTGACTGTTTGCTTACATGATTCTATAATATTGACTTTTTGCTTACATGATTCTATAATATTGACTGTTTGCTTACATGATTCTATAATATTGACTGTTTGCTTACATGATTCTATAATATTGACTGTTTGCTTACATGATTCTATAATATTGACTGTTTGCTTACATGATTCTATAATATTGACTGTTTGCTTACATGATTCTATAATATTGACTGTTTGTTTACATGATTCTATAATATTGACTGTTTGCTTACATGATTCTATAATATTGACTGTTTGCGTACATGATTCTATAATATTGACTGTTTGCTTACATGATTCTATAATATTGACTGTTTGCTTACATGATTCTATAATATTGACCATTTGCTTACAATATTCTATAATATTGACTGTTTGCTTACATGATTCTATAATATTGACTTGTTTGCTTACATGATTGAATAATATTGACTGTTTGCTTGCATGATTCTATAATATTGACTGTTTGCTTACATGATTCTATAATATTGACTGTTGTTTACATGATTCTATAATATTGACTGTTTGCTTACATGATTCTATATTATTGACTGTTTGCGTACATGATTCTATAATATTGACTGTTTGCTTACATGATTCTATAATATTGGCTGTTTGCTTACATGATTCTATAATATTGACTGTTTGCTTACATGATTCTATAATATTGACTGTTTGCTTACATGATTCTGTAATATTGACTGTTTGCTTACATGATTCTATAATATTGACTGTTTGTGTTACATGATTCTATAATATTGACTGTTTTCTTACATGATTCTATAATATTGACTGTACTTTTGTGTTACATGATTCTATAATATTGACTGTTTTCTTACATGATTCTATAATATTGACTGTTTGTTTACATGATTCTATAATATTGCCTGTTTGATTACCTGATTCTCTAATATTGACTGTTTGCTTACATGATTCTATAATATTGACTGTTTGCTTACATGATTCTATAATATTGACTGTTTGCTTACATGATACTATAATATTTACTGTTTTCTTACATGATTCTATTACCACCTATAATTATGGAGTTCCAAGAGTGGATGGCGTCACCTGATGGCAGCAAAAAGGATGAAAAAACGGTTTTGCAACATGGTTTTCAGCTTTATATCATGCTAAAAGCCATTAATGATTTAGAGAACATTCAGTCCCGGTTTGACCTGAAGTTAATACGTCAAGCATTTTTAAGTGTGCATGCATGTGAAACAGAAAAAGTATGAAGCTGGCACAATCAAGTCGTATTTGATGAGTATTCATTTGTCCTGTCCGACAAACGAGATACAATTTAATTCGGTTGGGTAGACGTAAGCTCAGCGCGAGAAAAAGTAAAGATGTGGTCTGCATCATACAGGAGAGAATCAAGCACAAGGAAATGGCAAAAGCTTGAAGAAGATATGCTGAATCGTTTGACACCATCAAACATCAGGAAGTTGGAGAAAAGCGCAGCAGCTCGATAGGCGGCTAAGATCATTGGCCAATACTCCGATTCAGCTGAGTCCACGCCTGTCACTCTATCCAGTTTTACCTTGGTTAGGGATTTCCTGTTCACTCAAATCTTTATAGACAATGCCAATCGACCAGGTGTCCTAGCACATAATGACGATGGAGGAATTTACAAACATCCGAAAGCAAGATGACTATTACCTCATAACAGTGAAGAAGCACAAAACTGCACATGTTCATGGACCAGCTCGTGTTGTATTGAGTGAAAAACTGAAGGCGTGGCTGTCAATATTCGTTGGCATAATGCGAGCCCATGTTACCACCCGAATGAATGGCCCAGTATTCATATCCTGGAACGGAAACCCTATGAATTCTGTGCACATCACTAAGGCAGTACAATCTGTCTTTAAAAAAGCTGGAGTGGATGTTAAAGTAACATCGACATCGTTTCGGAAAGCAGCAGTGACGAAAGTTAATGTCGATAAGCCAGAGATGAGTGCGAAATTGGCTAGCCTTATGGCTCACAACGAAGCGACGGCAAAGAGATATTATCTCCTGACAGAGAAATCCAAAACTTCCATAGAGGCTTCACGAAATCTTGGTCGCCTGATGCGAACTGATGACGGGTGTGGAGATAACATTGAGACTCCTTCATATGACAGTTCATTAAGCTACGTTAAATACGAGAAATACAACGGGTCAAAGACAAGATTCTCCCCACGGGTACGCTATGAAAGCTTGTTTTCATACAACATAATTCATCGTAATTCACATGTCTTAATTCGTTGTAATTCGTTAATTGTTATGCGAAATCCGACATATGGAAACAGAACTACAATAAATACGTCATTTGAATTACGACGCGGAACCATGTATTTGTTTTATAAAAACCAGCCTTGAGTGGCTGACAATGCAAAGAATCCTTCCAGCCTCTCCATACTTACAAAACTACTTCCCGCTACAATAACGATCCGTTATCGTGTATTATCAAAACCTTAAAGTGTTTTTTGTTATATATATTTTATTTATATTTGCAGATTCTGCGTAGAAGGATCGACTTGCTTTTTCCGGACAAAGAAGTCTATTAATGAAGTGGTAAATATATTCGTCATAAATAGACAGCTGGAATCTGATGCATTAGAGCTGTTTTCTTATTCAACTGTATATATATCGCAGAGTAGTGCGTATATTATTTTTCCTGGGCTCTCGGCTAGAGCCAAGGGCTTTGGAGGAATAAGAATACAAAGGAATACCGCTACGGCGCTACGATATACGGTGCAGTGGAAAACAGGCTTTATGTAACTAATCTTGATTTTATCACTTTTTAAATCATCTTGTATATTCCTGATTCACAGCGGACCGGTATTCCTCATCCTTCCCGCTGTGAATGCAACTTGGCTAGACTATATATGTTATGCCTTATTGATGGGATTTGATAAGGAATTTTTGCCTTATTGAAATTACAAAATCGGTGTACAACCTCGCGCTCGGCGGATAAAATGTATATGCGCGTCTTAGGATATGCTTAGTTAACACCAAAAAATAATTAGTATATTTATGGAAGAAGAAATGTCCCACAACACACGTTTTAATAGTGCATTATGCAAGTAAAGTGTATGCTTGTATAAAATTGTAAAACATTTTTCCTCATTACTAGTTTGATTTTGAATCTTAGATAGGACACGTGTTACTTCATTGATGTTAGAGAAAATATTTAGAAATCATTGTTGAGATTTGAATGAAGTCCCTTGATGTATGAATGTGCAAAAAAATGTGTACAACATTCTGGAGTCTTCCCTGAGGAGTGCAAAAATTAATGTGTACAACATTCTGGTCTTCCTGAGGAGTGCAAAAATTAATGTGTACAACATTCTGGGGTCTTCCTGAGGAGTGCAAAAATTAATGTGTACAACATTCTGGGGTCTTCCTGAGGAGTGCAAAAATTAATGTGTACAACATTCTGGGTCTTCCTGAGGAGTGCAAAAATTAATGTGTACAACATTCTGGGGTCTTCCTGAGATGCAAAAATTAATGTGTACAACATTCTGGGGTCTTCCTGAGGAGTGCAAAAATTAATGTGTACAACATTCTGGGGTCTTCCAGATGAGCGCAAAAATTAATGTGTACAACATTCAGGGGTCTTCCTGAGGAGTGCAAAAATTAATGTGTACAACATTCTGGGTCTTCCAGATGAGCGCAAAAATTAATGTGTACAACATTCAGGGGTCTTCCTGAGGAGTGCAAAAATTAATGTGTACAACATTCTGGGGTCTTCCTGATGAGCGCAAAAATTAATGTGTACAACATTCTGGGTCTTCCTGAGGAGCGCAAAAATTTGTGCAACATTCTGGGGTCTTCCTGAGGAATACAAAATTAATGTGTACAACATTCTGGGGTCTTCCTGAGGAGTGCAAAAATTAATGTGTACAACATTCTGGGGCTGAGAATACAAAAATTAATGTGTACAACATTCTGGGGTCTTCCTGAGGAGTGCAAAATTAATGTGTACAACATTCTGGGGTCTTCCTGAGGAGTGCAAAAATTAATGTGTACAACATTCTGGGGTCTTCCTGAGGAGTGCAAAATTAATGTGTACAACATTCTGGGGTCTTCCTGAGGAGTGCAAAAATTAATGTGTACAACATTCTGGGGTCTTCCTGAGGAGTGCAAATTAATGTGTACAACATTCTGGGGTTCTGAGGAGTGCAAAAATTAATGTGTACAACATTCTGGGGTCTTCCTGAGGAGTGCAGAAATTAATGTGTACAACATTCTGGGGTCTTCCTGAAGAGTGCAAAAATTAATGTGTACAACATTCTGGGGTCTTCCTGAGGAGTGCAAAAATTAATGTGTACAACATTCTGGGGTCTTCCTGATGAGTGCAAAATTTTTTACAACATTCTGGGGTCTTCCTGAGTAGTGCAAAAATGTGTACAACATTCTGCGGTCTTCTGAGGAGTGCAAAAATGTGTACAACATTCTGGGGTCTTCCGGAGGAGTGCAAAAATGTGTACAATATTCTGGGAGAGATTCTGGGGTCTTCCTGAGGAGGTATATATGCATAAGTTTTCGTCCCATTTTTACAACGCTTTTCTCTGCTCCTCGAATGTGTACATCATTCTTGGTCTTCCAGGGGATTTTTCGTACTTTTAGTTTGTATTTACGTTTGATACTTTTCATCAAAAGCACATTCCCACTTAATAGCAGTAAGGTTTAAGAAATCAAATAATTACAAAGTCGAGCTATGCCATCCATGCAATCCCCATTTATTGCGGTATGTATCAATTATTAATTTGTACCAACCTTGAATCCCTGTTTTAAATGTATTTCAATTTACTTTTTAGAATATTTATGGAAGACGAAATCCGAATTGCGATTCTCTAATGAATACATTTGTCATTGGAATATGGGTAAGTGATGTTCATAAATAAACTTTCTGTCTTCAAGCAGGCCACTTTCCCGTCGGATTTATTGAAAAATGACCAGCACATACAAATATCAGATGCGATTCAGCAAATATAGGGTAGGGTCGCAGCTCCTCGCAAGAACGATTTTCATGGGCTAAACTTTACAATACATTTCTGTTTCAACCAATAGCATAGCTTCGTTCTTTAGAAAGCATAGAAAAGCATTATCCAATGGACGAAAGCTTCCGAGCTCTGCGTATTGAAGCAAAATATGTAAAGATTTCCTGCGCGTGTTATTTTCTTCATCATTGATCGAGTCATTATCAAAGTAGTTTTCCTGAATAGAAATCGCGATATGCTCAATATCATATTTATAATTCACTCTTAACAAGGGCATGCAAGTTCTCATAACATACCTCAGACTTGAAATTAAAATTCAAATTTACAATTGGTAGAAAAACGAACCCTTTTTTCACAGAATTTTAGAATTATTCCAGTGCTGAGTTATATGGAATAAAGAAAAGGGTATGCAGTCTTGACGAGGAACTGCCTTCTCATTGGTTGATTTTTGAAGAAAAACGGCTTCTGAGAGCTCTGCATCATTTTCCGCCTTTATTATCTATAGTCACCAATTTTGTTGAAGGTCGCGCCATTACAATTTAACATGAAATATTGCTGTGCCTTCTATAAATGGCCAGCAATACAATATGCACACGCAACCAAAGGAATGCACCCGATTAGGTTAAATAAATGCCCCTATTCTATTTCTCTTTTTAAAAACCCGCTTAGACCAGTTCATGCCCCTTGCTTCAACGTTTTAGGTGCAAAGTAATACGGAAAGATGCAATTTAGGTGCCATAGAGGAGTGAAGTTAGGTTTTGCTATAAAAATTTAAGTTTAAAAAAGAGAAAGTTATCAAGAGTTATTAAGGAATATTTAGGTAGTTTAGCTATATTAAAACGAACCATGTTTACTCGACAAAATGCATGTGTGATAGACAGTAAAAAGACACTGCATGTTAAGAATTAAAGTTTTTATTGTCAATAAAAATATATCTCCATGAAGGTCTACCTCACTGCTCAGTCCCCACATTGTTTACATCGAATCTTTAAAAGTCCACACAGTGAATACACTAGAAAACTACTGTCCCCACATTGTTTACACACGGCGCGTCCCCGTTATGATGATTTCATGTTTTTTGACACAGGTCCCCAGAGGGGCATAAAATTTTCTAGTCCACAGGATGACTGGCAAACAGGTATTAATGTGTGTGTGTGTGTGTGTGTGTGTTGCAGGACAATGCAAGTCCTAAATCTTACTGTTTTTCATCATCCATTATATCACAATTAATGAATACTAAGTGTGCTGATTAGTTGCATTAGCTGTCTTTCCAAGTTTTTTACTGGATTACTGCCCCCCCCCCCCCATCATATCATTAAAAGTATTCCTAAATTTTATCTTAATTGCCTCTTTCAATGTTGTTTATATTCTCAATGCCCCTATATCCAATGCTCAGGTATAGCTTTGTGGCTTAATAAATATCATGACAAAGTTAAACCTTAATTAATTCACATTTTTATTGTGAAATCAGTTTTTCATCCTTAGCATTTGAGCATTAACAAAGAATCCCTTTGGTTGAAATGATTTGTTTAACATTCAAACTGGTAAAATGTTCACAACCAGGCACAAAAAGAATACATATCAGAGAATTTTTGTTGTGGTTAAAGGTGCCATGCATATGTTTTCCTATGGTGGCATAGTTTGTTAAATGTTGAATTCATCATCATGCCAAGCAGCAAATGTTAATATGAATAACTTTAATTATTACACTTTCAATTTCTTTAAACATAAATGTTATGACTAACATTTGTTTTTAACCCAAAATAATATAAAAAAATGTGAATAAAACTATTCCTTAACATTTTTAACATAAAATCCCTTGCTCACTAAATTTGTTTTAGCTAAGAAATTATGTAAAGAATTATGTATCCTTACATAAAATGTGAAACTGTTATGACTAACATTTGTTTTAACCCAAAATAAATATAACAAAATGTGAATAAAACTATTCCTTAACATTTTTAACATAAAATCCCTTGCTCACTAAATTTGTTTTAGCTAAGAAATTATGTAAAGAAATTATGTATCCTTACATAAAATGTGAAACTGTTATGACTAACATTTGTTTTTACCCAAATAAATATAACAAATGTGAATAAAACTATTCCTTAACATTTTTAACATAAATCCCTTGCTCACTGAATTTGTTTTAGCCAAGAAATTATGTAAAAGTATAGTCTTCCTCATCCTCGCAATGCTATATACAGAATTAGTAGCACCAAAACATTAGATTGTTGTGATGTACTTTCACTTGCTCTGCTTCCATGTGGTTGCATAACAGTGCTTTCACTTGCATGCCTTTCCTGTGGTTGCATACCTATGCCGGCTTTCCAATGTTGTGTATATACTGGTGTTGCAAGGACTGGTGTTGCAAAGGCTGATGCTGCAATGGCTGGTGTTGCAATAGCTGGTTCTGCAATGAATTTATGACTTGCCTACTAACAAGGGCAGTCAACGCTTGACTAAGATTCTCCATGGTGTTGGCAAACTTGTTCAAAGTTTTATTATGCTCTTCATCCATTTTCTTCATTTCTGTCATCATAGTTTTTTCAATGCTAAGTCCTCTTTCATTACTGCTAGCTGCTGGTTTTCATTAGATTTTGTTTTAGACAACTTTGAGTTACGTTTGCTTTAATGTGTTAAATGAAACTTTTCCTGCCAGAACTATTAACATTTGCCTCTTCAACTTGAATTTCATCATTTGCATCAAATAAATTTTTAGAAGTTTCGTGAAGAGAAATGTTCTTGCCCACCCATCAACTGTTGTTCTGCAACTTGTTTGTCCACAGGTGACTTCAAATCTGTAAAGAGATCTGCCCATCAGCACCTTTCTCACCACCACAACTAGGTTCAGCTTTAAAACCTTCAGTGCTGTCAACTCCATGTTCCAGACTTGTTGTGGCTGGGCTTCCACTCCAAATACTGTTGCAAATGTCGTAGAAAGTTGCCACTGTTCGGCCACCACCGCTTCGCCTTCCCGAGTCTACAGCTTTTTATATTTCTTTTCAAGTCCTTGACTTTGCTAGCAATTCTTTCTCGTGTAAATATTGGTAGCATGTTCTTTAAGCTCTTTCTGATCATAGAAGCTAACGAATGCTAATCTGATGTCTTCGTACTTGCTCTTAACACTCTCCCATTCAACGCCTCCGAATTCTTTTCCCGAAGCATATGCTTGCACAACACCGAGAAGAATCTCAACTTCATCATCAGACCAAATCAAATTGTTTTGCTGTTCGTTTTTATCGCCGACAGATTGAGTTCTAACTTTCTTTTTCGGAGGCATATTTTGATGCTTGGCCTGTCCATGAGTCGATCGCGTGTTCGAATAATTTTCTATCCACCAAACTGACATTACGTCATATTTCCAAAATGATTTTTCGGTCGAATAATTTGGTTATAGACATAATTATTCTTATTTTTCAAGTGATTGTTGGAATTAAAAGTTTATTATATTTTAGCATATAATTATTTAGAGGAATGACTTTCTGTAATGTCATTTTGGTTGTTAGAAAAACGTGACGACCAATTCTCCAAGAACAAGTAATGTGAGTGTAAACGGACAAATCCGCATACAGAGACAACTAAAGTGTAGTGTAAACACTGACGAATCCGATACATGTGTGTAACAATGAATCCGGAAAATTTTACAAATCCGGAAACTTTCGTTCTAGTGTAAACGGGGTCTTAGAGGCATTACAATAGCATTCATGTTCCGCACTGATTTCACATTGTGGTTTGATTGAACTTCCTACATTACAGGGTGTATAAAAAAAAACGCAACCACTTAATATCTAAAATTCATATTGTTCATAAGCTCAAAAGATTTTATGCCCCTGGGATTTTAAAATGGCTTCTAGTCGTACAGTTCAACTGCTAATAGTCAAATCAGCTAAACTAATAATGGTGCAGCTAACAACCGAACAACGAGTTTTTATTGTCGTGCATTACACCCAAACTCAAAACACGACCGAAGTGCAAAACGCTTTTCTGGCAAGGTTTCCAGATCGGAACCCACCGCATAAAGCGACAATCTTGAGAAACGTTAGAAAATACTCTCGAGCAGGAACGAGCCATAACCTTAATGAGGGAAATTCTGGGCGCAGGAGAACAGCGCGATCTGCTCAAAACATCGCGGCTGTTAGAACCTTCTTGAGGAGAATCCTCATGTGAGTGCTCCGCCGGAATCCTGTTGCCATATCATCGGCTGGATTTAACCGAATAACAAGGCTAGATCTTAGATGGCACCCTTATCGCATGCATGTGCGACATGAGTTGTTGGAAAGGGACTTCCCGCGGCGAGTGCGGTTCGCAGAATGGTTTCTCCAGCGCTGTCGACGCGATGGTTTCTACGAAGCATTATCATTGGAGACGAGGCGACATTCTCAATGAATGGAGAGGTCAACACCCAAAATGTGCGGCAATACTCACCAAAAGGAAACCCACCCGATTTCAACTTTGATAGAAATGTTAGCCGCGCCAAACTCACTGTTTGGGCAGCATTGGTTGGCAATGGCTTGATTTTGGGCCTTACTTCTTTGATCGGAATGTGGACGGCATATCATACCAACGAATGTTTAACGAATTCGTTTACCCGCAATTGGTCGTGCATTTTGGAAATCAGCAATGGGAAGATATGTTTCGGGGACTTTGGTGGGCCCAAGATGGGGCGCCAGCTCATCGCCTAATTGAAGTCAGAGATCGACTGAACCGAGTGTTTGGAGAGAACCACGTCATAGCGCTAGGGCACAACATTAAGTGGCCACCTCGCTCGCCGGATTTGACGCCATGTGACTTTTTTCTTTGGGGCTATGTGAAGAACAGAGTGTTCTCCACGCCACCCGAGAATGTCAATGTTTTACGACAGCGAATTCTCGACACATTTGATGCATTAAAGGAACAGCCTGAAATGATTACACGCGCTGTGCAGGCTATGCAAAGTCGAGCAACGCTTTGTGTTGAGCGAAACGGTGGACATGTCGAAGGGCATGGTCCATGATAACTTGAATGCTAACTGTCGACCTTGTAAAATAAATTGTAAATAAAATTTTACTCGTTAAATACTTTCAATTCAGCTCGTTGGTTTACGCACCCGACTTTGTTTACCGTCGATTGTGCCGCTAGAATAATAATTATATGATTACAAGCTTTCTCTCATTCCAGGGGCCAAACGTCTTTTGTGTTGTAGAACAAAGAGGATATTCATGAATATTAAGTGGTTGCGTTTTTTTTTATACACCCTGTAGAGCAGGGTAAAGTATGAGCATCCACGCCATCAGATATATTTGGGAAAGCGCTAATAGTTTTGATAGTATGCCAGTATTTGCCCCCTGGGATGTCATCAGGTGTCTCAATTTGAATTGGATTTAAAAACGTGCAATTTGTTGTGTATTCAAGGTCATTGTTGATACCGAAGATGTTTGATCAGGCATGACATTTTCTTTGTTTTCCAATAAGCCCGTCCTCAGGTTATTTTCACGCTCTAAAAGAAAAGCTTCTCATAGAGTGAAGCTAAATCCGATTCAAGTTGAATTCTTTTATCTTTTTCTTCAGTCAATTCTCGACTTAAACGACATATCTCTTGCTGGTATTCATTAAACGAAAGACAGACTTCTGTGTGCTTTCCAAACTTTGTAGAGCATCAGTCCTTGATTGTAAAATCTCCATTTGTAGCCTGATATCTCTGAGTTCATCTAAAGCGAGTTCACACGAACAACCACCACACAAGGATTATTCGTGGGACGAATAGGTGTCGCTTGCTCAGACGACTCAATGTCGAACAACCCCCAAACAAGGAAGGTTTAGGTACATTTATAACTTCAGAAATACGGCTTTTAATGGCGTCAGCTGCTTTCCCTTTGAAGGAAATCGTTTGACTTTTACTGTACCATGTTAATAATAAATTACCGTTTAAAAAGCATGTCCAACTACCGCCGCCAGGTGACTTCCATACAATATCCTTTGCATTGACGTCTTTAAATTCACTCGCAATTAACGTCTTTAGTTGCGTAAGGGTTCCTCCCCAAATTAGTTTGTTCTTCTTCGTAGCAAATAAATCATATTCGACAGAATTGCTAGATTCTTTATCGATTATATGAATTGACATTATTGAGCCTTTCTACAGCCACTTGAGAACAATTTAGAGTACAAATCTTTCTATCACTTTAAAAAATCACGGAGCTCTGAAATCACGTCTGCACACAAGAGTAACTTGCTGAGCTAACATGCAGCATGGCTAACAGCCACGCAAGGTCTTTACTCAGCTAATAGCCACGCGAGATTTTTAGCTCAGCCAATAGCCACGCGAGATTTTTAGCTCAGCTAACAACCACGCGAGATTTTTAGCTCAGCTAATAGACACGCGAGATTTTTAGCTCAGCTAATGGCCACGCGAGATTTTTAGCTCAGCTAATAGACACGCGAGATTTTTAGCTAAGCTAATAACACGCGAGATTTTTAGCTCAGCTAATAGACACGCGAGATTTTTAGCTAAGCTAATAACCACGCGAGATTTTTAGCTCAGCTAATAGCCACGCGAGATTTTTAGCTCAGTTTACGAGTCACGACGCGGCTAAGAAGAAGACGCCTTAGAAAGGCTTGGTAACAAACGCGGACCAAGCCGCCTCGTCCTATTTTGTTCCTTGCGTTACGAAACACAACGCGCCAGGTAAAACATCAATTTAGGCGGGAAAATTTTGGTCTTTCAAAATCTTTGTTATGCAGGTTTTTATAGGAGCGGATTTAAATGGGAAATGAACTTCGTGAATGAACTTTGCGAGAAAGAAACGGTATGATGAGTTTGTGCTTGAAATTCGTTGTTTATTAATTTCTGTAATCCCGGATATACTTTTAAGTAATCTTCAAGTTGTATATATAGGATAAAAATATGGACGCTACTAATGTATATTAAAAACACAATGTGCTAAACAAATTCATTTGTACGAAATGTAACGAATAAATACCACAGAAAATGTAGTTAAAGAAATATATGAATCAAACAATAAAAGGTAAGAACTTAATTTCAAGTTTTGAACGAAAAAATATTCGATATTAATTTGACGTAGCGTTGTGATCACAACGTAAAATTAAACAAAATTCCGTCGTAGAATCGTAAAGAACGCGCGCTTCGAAATCACACAAGACGCATTGGTCGGGCTTGTCACCAAGCTCTTCTAACGCGCGTCTGTACCCGAGCCGCGTCTGTATGTACCCTAGCTACGTCGTGAATCGTAAACTCTATTATTCGGGAACCTGTTAAATTTAAGGTAAGACTGAAAAATATGAAAATCTTGAGATAACGATAGTTTCTGCCCGTCTTCAATCGAACTCGGCAACTGCAATATGTAAGATAGAAGTTGGTTTAATTTGAAATTTTGTCTCGTACTTGCAGGAAAATTATATAAGATACAGCAATTATAATATAGCAGCTCCTTAGCTCCATGGTGTCTCTTAATCATTTGAATGTGCATGTCCCTGTCATGTTTAGTCGTCTCAATAAGTTTGGGTTATTACCAGGCTATTCAATTATAACCGCAACTAAATAATACAGTGCGAACCAAGATATTGGTTCTGTAAGAAATACATTATAAGCGGTCGTGTATACGTCAGCGATGGCTGGGGTATGACATTGCCTATGCGTGTATTATGCTGACGAGTCTCACAAGAATCAAAGTCAACAAGATGTCTGCAGAGAGGCGTGCTAATGTGGCTTTATGTCAATGTCGTGTATCTGAAGACGTTGAGCTGATTAGCATTACGTACTCGAATTTCTAAAGATATATTTATTTCTAAAACATAATATTTATGCTCGACAACACCCACTCGCCGGCATTTGAAGAAGATTGAAATTAAATCTGTACGAATAGAAGACGTAGATATTAAACCTACTGAATGGTGCTTGGAATTTTAGTACCTGGTTTCACAACCACATGTCGATAGATGTTCACTTCAGGAGCGTTAAGAGCAAAGCTTAAATAAGCAAAAAATTAGGACATCAACAATTAATTAGTGTTTTCAACTGATATCAGGATAAATATATCATTAGTTACCTCTATACGTGTTCAATGGGTTTTTAAAGTGATTATTGACTTTTATGTTATTTCGGCAGGACAGACAATTATACTTCCGTTTCAAATGCATTATGAAAACAGATAGCCTGCTCGCAGACTGAATTAGGGAGCCGGAAATTAAACGGGGAAAATTCAGTCTGCTGAACTGCAGGCTTTATCGTGTACGGTGACGTAACATTTACACGGATTTAAGTAACTGAACGTGATATTGGCTCAAACATATCAACGATAGATCAAGCGTTTTGATTCGTTTAGTCGCTAAATATTTTGAATAAATTATTTTTTGAGATATAATAATTCTACACTGTTTGTTACGAAAACATGGTGTCGTCGATGCATAGTTACGATATAGATGTTCACCGTTGGGTGAACAGCCTTGCGGACTGTGTGCTCTACATTTAATTTAAAGGAGTTGTATGCTGAGCAAACAGCTGGGGTTGAATGAGAAATTGGAGTTGGTATTTCCAACAATTCTGGCAGCGCACTGACCAGTTCACGTGTAGTGGCAACGGATTTCGTGGCCTTTGTGAATGTCTGGGATGTGCTGGGCAAATTTGGCGCTGAAATACATGGCCGTTAGCTGCTCGGTTCTTCTTCAAAGACTTGTCGCCTTTTGAGTTGTCCTATTTCGTATGCCTCTTTAAGTTCTTTAACAATGAGGTTATGTTGAGCTTGGGCAAGAAGAGCGGCTCGTTTCCTTAGTTTATCGAGACACTCAGTCGACAAATGTAAAGTGATGTCTCTAAAAGTCTAAAACATCAAAATTAAACTGTCGAAGAGCCTCACTAGCGTTAAATTTCGTCTTCCGGATACCAAATATCTTTCGTGTGGCTCTTCGATGGTTCAAGAGCACAGAATACAATTGCAATTGGGATTATTCGACGCTATGTGCGCTCTTAGCCATGATTTTAGTATTCGGTGCGCCCGAATAATTATCATATTATTATGCAGTTCATATTACGTCACCGTACACGATAAAGCCCGCAGTTCAGCAGACTGAATTTTCCCCGTTTAATTTCCGGCTCCCTAATTCAGTTTGCGAGCAGGCTAGAAAACAGAGAGCTATAACAGTATTCAATAAATTTGTGTATAATATGGAACGACGTCTTTCTTCATTTTTTCTATAGTTGTACTACATTCTCAAAACAATTTTGCTCATGAGTAAAGGATCTGTTACACGGTACAATTTTCTTTGCAACTTGCAATGCAATTCTACTTTTGAGAGATGTATATTTGGGTACAACGAAACATTTGTGTTTATTACACTTAATGCACTTTTGTTCTGCAAGACTCTTCACTAATTTACATCTCTTAGAAGTAAAATTGCACTGCGAAGAAAAATTGCGCCGTGTAACACGGCCCTAAGTGCAATCAGAATGGCAGGACACTCTCAATCCTTTTAATCCCAGCGAGGCAGAGCCACAAATGAAATGTTTAAATTATAACGTTTGTTTCGAAATTCGTTATTCGTGGTATGCATTGCTTCAGTGACCATGCAAATTAGCCGTCATAAAAGCGGAATTGTCATAGGATTGTTGAATTGTATCAAAGTAAGGCAACTTCATTCACTTTTGATCAGTTAAACATCTGCCATCACTTAGAATCGAACAATTATGAACATCAGTTGAAATAAGTATAGGGAACTAAAAATTCGCTCGGTAAGTTTTTCAACAGAACCAAAATTTTGCACATAGCAGTGCATTATGTCGACTGCCCATAATCAGCATGATACAAATAACATGTTGCAATTTACCTTTTTCCTTTAGAACATGATTTAAAAGTGAAGAATATATCTTAAAGTTCCGAAGTAGCAGTAAGTACTTCATAGACTTATGTTATAGTACATTGACGCATGATTTGTTCAAATATAACACTCAGAAGCAAACGTAATATCAAAATATTAACCACCCACGCAACGGATGGCGTAAGCTGAAATTCACTCTTTCTATACCCGGCAACGAGCTCGTAAAGTTTTACTGTTTATTTAAATTGTGTTCGCAAACGAGAAATAACACACAAGGCACACTATCAATTTACGCTAAAGAGGTAATTTTCCGTAGTCACGGTATCTCGCAGCTCAACGCTTTATATTCGTTAAAGAAGATCGTGCAAATAAGGAAATTTGACTGGGGAAACCTCCGTGTCTTCTAGGATAATTCAAGCACCTATACGCAAATGTCTTACAGCCCTATCAACCTTTCATCTGGATACAAAAATATATTTAGAAGCCGAGTTGTCGTATGTTTCTTGAATTGTGTAAGTGTTTTTATTGAATTCAAATAATTTTAATACACCGCTTTAAGGCGCTTTTAAAACGACCAAACTTGGCATGCAATTCGCAGTCATCTGTGTAATAAAAAATTCTTGCAGATTTCCCCGCTTAGCTTTGAGAAAGACTTTATTATAATATGTGAGGGTAATTAAATCAATTATGATTTTTGGCACTTCACTCGATGCAGGTAATTTCCAGAGGTTCAAAGAGTCTTAATTTCGAGTGGAATTATACACACTTCAAATTCAAGCCAGGAACAGTCAATATAAAAAGAAATCGACATACACTTTTTTATTTAAAGAGTAGAATTTTTTTAATAAAAACCCAGTTAGCCCCACGGACGTGGGATATTATTCCCGTTAAATTTTCAGAACGTTCCCCGGTTTGTTTATATCAATTAAGGTTCAATCTTCCAGTTTTGGCAACAAAACTAACAATGCGAGTCAGGTTATCATGATTTGATTTCTAGTCGTTTAACATCTTCAAAACGATTTTTCTTTCAATAAGTGCGATCAGATTGAGAAAACAGTTTTCAATCATATCAAACCGACGCGCAAAAAGCTTAAACGACGCCGTATATCGTTTGTTTCGAATCTCGTTATTCGTGGAATGCATGGCTTCAGTGACCATGTAAATTAAATAAAAGCAGACTTAATTATAATAACTTGTAGGTACACCACGTAAGTATTAAATACTGCAAATAAATACTTATCATGTTTCAAAATTGTTCTTGTGTTAATAATAAGTGGTGAGAAGTGCAAATTTGCTTCAAACGTTTTTCAAAACGACCAAAATTTCGCACTCATATCAGCGGTTAATAAACTGCCGATAATAACTTTTTCGTTCAGAACATGATTGAAAAGTGAATGATATATCTTCAAGTTCCTAAGTAACAGTAAGTACGGTATATCAAACTTTGGGGTGGTGCCTTGCATGGGACTTTTGTCCCGTTCGCACCTCTACCTGTTGATCTGTAGTGGATCTTTTTTTTTCTTTTTTTATTTATTTATTTATTATTTATTTTTTATATATATATATATTGTATGTTAATTCTTTCTTCATGCCAGATCAATAAAGCTGTTAAATAAAAAAAAAAAAAAATCATACTTCATAAAACTATAAAAATCTATTATAGTGCATCTGACGATGATATATTCAGAGATAACACTCAGAAGCAACGTAATTAATATCCAAATACAAACCACCCACGCAATATAGATGGCGTATGCTGAAATTCACTCTTTTATACCAAGGCATGATATTATAACCGAAAGGGAAGTTCCTAAAAATTTCTAATTTGTCAACTTATCGATGGTGCGTTCAAGTAGCGGTTAGTTTTATACCCGGCAACGAGGCGTAAAGTTTTACTGCATGTTTATTAAAATTGTGTTCGTACAACGAGAAATAACACACAATGCAGACCATCAACGCTAAAAAGGTTATTTTCCGTAGTCACGTTATTTCGCACCTCAACGCTTTATATTCGCAAAAAAGATGGTGCAAATTGCAAATAAAGAAAATTGACTGCAAACACCCCTACGTCGTCTACGCAAATGCTTGCAGCCCTATCAACCTTTCATTTGGGTGTACAAATAAACATTTTAGAAACTTGGCTTCGATATACAGGGTGTATCAAAAAAATGTCCCAAATGTAAAATTTCCGTTTTTCTGGATATTTTGCAGAATTTGGCAATTTTTTGTGTTCCTAGAGATAGTTAAGACTTATCTGGTATACCTAGGACAAGTTTGGTTTTTCATTAACAAAATTATGTTACCGGGGGGGTGGTTCCTTTCCACTGATATTGAGAGGGCTTGCGCGCGAAAATGTGAAGCTGAAATTGAGATATTATTTAGCTGTCTAAAAGTAGGAAAGCTTTTTAATAAACTGTCAAAGTTTCAGGAAAAATAATGCAAACTGGGAGCAACGCGAGACCCCTAAAAGTGACAAATATTTCATTGCGCGCAGTGGATTAAATGCATCGTTGATTTTAGCGTGACCGATCTCATGCAAGGCTGGGCAAATGAATAAATTAAAGCGAGAAACTAAACAAAAAGACGAAGCGATTTAATAACAAGATTTTTATTCTTGATGTTAATCCTCAACATTTCCACCATTTCTTTCTAAGCAAACTGCGGCTCGTCTGAGCATGGTAAACACTGAACGGCGAACCACATTTGTCTGTCCTGCCTCAAATTATCCATTTCGTTCGAAATTCTTTCTTGCAAATCGCCTATACGCTACCACCGGCAAATCTAGGCGAATGGACAGACAAATGGTTCGCTGTTCAGTGTTTAGTATGCTCAGACAAGCCGCAGTTTGCTTAGAATGAAATGGTGGACATGCTGAGGATTAACATCACGAATAAATCGCTTTGTTTTTGTGTTCAGTTTCTCGCTTTAATTTATTCATTTGCCTACCTTGGATGAGATCGGTCACGCTAAAATCAACGATGCATTTAATCCACTGCGCGCAATGAAATATTTGTCACCTTTAGGCGTCGCGCGTTGCTCCCAGTATGCATTATTTTTCCTGAAACTTTGACAGTTTATTAAAAAGCTTTCTTACTTTTAGACAGCTAAATAATATCTCAATTTCAGCTTCACATTTTCGCGCGTAAGCCCTCTCAATATCAGTGGAAAGGAACCACCCCCCCGGTAACATAATTTTGTTTATGAAAAACCAAACTTGGCCTAGGTTAACCAGATAAGTCTTAACTATCTCTAGGAACACAAAAATATGCCAAATTCTGCAAAATATCCTGAAAAACGGAATTTTTACATTTGGGACATTTTTTTTGATACACCCTGTATATCAATTTGGCTTCAATAATTAGATATAACCTTTTTTTTTTTTTTAACAGGTCATTTCCATGAAGACTGGCATATTTTGCTCCTTATAATATTTAGATTAAATTGTTATAAATTTCTAGGAACCAGAATGTCCGGATTGCCATGGGAAAGCGAGGAAAGTCAAAACTACATTCGAGCGGAATACATTGTCACTGATGCTGTAAGGAAGGAGTTGAGGGATTTCTTTATTCAGGAATGGAACAAACGTTACCAGGCTTCTTTCGGAGCGTGGGATGACACGAACGTCAGTGGTATCAGTTGTTTAATCTGGAGAAAAAACGAACAAGGCCAAGTAAGACCATGCTTCAGTCCAAATTTCAAAATGGAAATACAAATAACTGGGATTGTACCGTACTTTTTGATGCAATTCTTTATTCCAACTCAATCGGTGGTAGTCTTAGTACAACAGAAAAGACTGAAATCGATATTCTTCGAAAACTGCGAAACGAAATAACTCATAATATACCTGACAAAACGCTAACAAATAAAGACTTTCAAACCATGACAACAAAAGTTGAGAATGCATTGGGTGCATTGGGACTGTCAATCAACGAGGTCGTTCGAATAAAAAACCTGTTTGCATCATTTATAATTCTTCCCCCTGAACCAGCCCATGAAGTCGTTTACCGTTCTGACAAAATACACGAGATAAGAGAAGACATTGAAAAGTTGCGTAGTGATAACGATGGCAAACTTACATATTTTTACATCTCTGGGAATCCAGGCAGTGGAAAATCTCAACTTGCCAGACAGATTTGTGAAGATATTTGCAAAGATGTTCATGCGAAGGACGAAGTAATGTTTGTAATGACATTAAACGGAAAAGATTTAGATTCTCTTTTTTCTTCATATGAAGATTTTTGTCGTCGGCTGAATTGTAACGAGAGCGCATTGCAAAGTGTTTCAAGTTCATCTAAAACTAAAGAAGAGAAAATCAAAGATTTAAGATCGCAAATATCTTGCAGAATTAACAATTGGAAAAAGTGGTGGATCATCGTAGACAATGTGGAAAATCTAGAACTCATATCCCCACTACTGCCTCTGAAAGGAGACGAAGTTTGGAAGCACGGCCAAGTTATATTAACAACACAAAACACAAATGCTGTTCCACAAGACAGCACCTCAACTAAGCATATCTCACTTATTCATGGAATGAATGACCAAGAGTGTCGCCAGCTGCTTGTCCTCTTATCGTGTACCGAAGTCGATAACCCAATACTAGATGAGGTGGCGGAGAAGCTAGATCGTCAACCACTGGCAATGGCCGCGCAGCCGTGTATATGAGAGAAGTAACCAATAGTTGCCCAGATTTTTCTTATCGAGATTATTTACGAAAGCTTGAGAAAGGTAAAAGAAGTTTAACGGAACAACGTCTTCAGAAGATAAATTCAGCAGCATATTCATCCACCATGAGCACAGCAGTGCTGCTAGCTGTTGAGAAATGTGCAGAAAATTACACAATCCTTCAACACGCTTTCAACCTTTTCTCTTTGATATCATTTGAACCACTACCACTTGATCTTGTTGTAAAGTATGTTCAGCAGCAAGAAGATTTAGAGGCCGAGGATATTATTCCGACATTAAAACACTGCTCGTTGTTTGTTCAAGTTTGTAATGATGGTGATATCCGCCTTCATCGTGTTGTTCATGAAGCTGTTAAAACACTTTTCAACAAAACTAAAGAAGCTACTATTTCCGAGACAGGTATTCAAAATAAGGACAGAAAAAAAACACAAAACATTAGCAAAGTTATTTCCGACGCTGTAAAAACAATGAACTTCAGTGATAGAGAGGATAAAAGCAAATTAATTCCGCATTTGAAAGCATTTAAGAAGGAAATGAATAATAACATCATTTTACCTGATCAAGCGTTATATGTCATCAGTTTCGATTTTGAAAAAACTGAAATTTGCGGAATATACGATTTTTTTGGGAAAACCCTTAACTACTACAATTCTGACCATAAACTTTCCACTGAATTCCACCAGCTCGCACTGAAAATACGGTTACAACATTTTGGACAAAACCACACGGACGTTGCTACTTCATACGCCTACCTGGGTTGTGCATGTATAACAGGATGTGATTTGGAATGCGCTGCAGATTATTATCAACGTGCGTTGGAAATTCAATTAGATCGACTAGGACCGAACCATACTAATGTTGCTATATCATACAGCAAACTGGGTGATGTGTGTAAAAGTAAAGGTGATCTTGATCTTGCTAATGATTATTATCAACGTGCGTTGAAATTCAATTGGATCGACTAGGACCGAACCATACTAATGTTGCTACATCATACAGCAACATTGGTGATGTGTGTATAAGTAAAGGTGATCTTGATCTTGCAAATGATTATTATCAACGTGCGTTAGAAATTGAATTGGATCGACTAGGACCGAACCATACTAATGTTGCTATCTCATACAGCAACCTGGGTGATGTGTGTAAAAGTAAAGATGATCTTGATCTTGCTAATGATTATTATCAACGTGCGTTGGAAATTAGATTAGATCGACTAGGACCGAACCATACTAATGTTGCTATCTCATACAGCAACCTGGGTGATGTGTGTAACAGAAAAGGTGATCTTGATCTTGCTAATGATTATTATCAACGTGCGTTGGAAATTCAATTGGATCGACTAGGACCGAAACATACTAATGTTGCTATCTCGTACAGCAACCTGGGTGATGTATGTAAAAGAAAAGGTGATCTTGATCTTGCTAATGATTATTATCAACGTTCGTTGGAAATTGAATTGGATCGACTAGGACCGAACCATACTAATGTTGCTATCTCATACAACAACCTGGGTGATGTGTGTAAAAGAAAATGTGATCTTGATCTTGCTAATGATTATTATCAACGTGCGTTGGAAATTGAATTGGATCGACTAGGACCGAACCATACTAATGTTGCTATCTCATACAGCAACCTGGGTTTGTTTGTGAAAGTAAAGGTGATCTTGATCGTGCTAATTTATATTATCAACGTGCGTTGGAAATTCAATTGGATCGACTAGGACCGAACCATACTAATGTTGCTATGTCATACCGCAACGTGGGTGATGTGTGTAAAGAAAAGGTGATCTTGATCTTGCTGATGATTATTATCAACGTGCGTTGGAAATTCAATTGGATCGATTAGGACCGAAACATACTAATGTTGCTATCTCGTACAGCAACCTGGGTGATGTGTGTAAAAGAAAGGTGATCTTGATCTTGCTAATGATTATTATCAACGTGCGTTGGAAATTGAATTGGATCGACTAGGACTGAACCATACTAATGTTGCTATCTCATACAACAACCTGGGTGATGTGTGTAAAAGAAAGGTATCTTAATCTTGCTAATGATTATTATCAACGTGCGTTGGAAATTGAATTGGATCGACTAGGACCGAACCATACTAATGTTGCTATCTCATACAGCAACCTGGGTGATGTGTGTAAAAAAAAGGCGATCTTGATGTTGCTAATGATTATTATCAACGTGCGTTGGAAATTCAATTGGATCGACTAGGACCAAAACATACTAATGTTGCTATCTCGTACAGCAACCTGGGTGATGTGTGCAAAAGAAAAGGTGATCTTGATCTTGCTAATGATTATTATCAACGTGCGTTAAAAATTGAATTGGATCGACTAGGACTGAACCATACTAATGTTGCTATCTCATACAGCAACCTGGGTGATGTGTGTAAAGAAAATGTGATTTGATCTTGCTAATGATTATTATCAACGTGGGTTGGAAATTGAATTGGATCGACTAGGACCGAAACATACTAATGTTGCTATCTCATACAGCAACCTGGGTGATGTGAGTAAAAGTAAAGGTGATCTTGATCGTGCTAATGATTATTATCAACGTGCGTTGGAAATTCAATTGGATCGACTAGGACCGAACCATACTAATGTTGCTATCTCATACAACAACCTTGGTGATGTGTGTAAAAGTAAAGGTGATTTGATCGTGCTAATGATTATTATCAACGTGCGTTGGAAATTCAATTGGATCGACTAGAACCGAACCATACTAATGTTGCTATTCATACAACAAACTGGGTGTTGTGCGTAAAATAAAGGTGATCTTGATCTTGCTAACGATTATTATCAACGTGCGTTGGAAATTCAATTGGATCCACTAGGACCGAAACATACTAATGTTGCTATCTCATACAGCAACCTGGGTGATTTGTGTAAAAGAAAATGTGATCTTGATCTTGCTAATGATTATTATCAACGTGGGTTGGAAATTGAATTGGATCGACTAGGACCGAAACATACAAAGTTGCTACCTCATACAGCAACCTGGGTGATGTGTGTAAAAGTAAAGGTGATTTTGATCATGCTAATGATTATTATCAACGAGCTCTGAAAATTCAATTAGAGAAATTCGAACCGAACCATACTGACTCGGCCACTTCATACAACAATTTGGAACAGGTGCGTAATCCGCTTCATTTAAATTCCACGATATTAGAAATTGACATATTTTCGCCGAGCAATGAATAATTATTGGATGTGGTTGAACGCCATAATTTTTATTCGGAATTATTAATGCAGATTTTGGCGAGCGCTTGCTTTGAACTCGTGAACGTGAAATCCCGTCAACTGAGGTTCTTGGATCCTGGCTTAGTCAGAGACTTCTGCCGAGAGAGTTTAGAATTCATAATAATCTGTCCATAACGCAAATCAAAACAGGTTCAATAAAAATTATTATTGTATTTTAAAATCAAGTCGATCGTCGACGTCAAACATTTGCAAAATCTAAGCTGTGTCGTAGGGTTAATTCATTGAAATATGTTGTCAAACGTTTTATGGACTGTGGCAAACCACGCCATTTTTTTATCTTTCAAAACCCGGCTTTTTCTGGATTCAAGAATTCCACACAAACTATAATTTGTAGATATGATTGATATTTTGTATTTACCGAATAATGATGAAACAATTGAATGAGGTTGAATTTCCCGATTCAGTCGCGAATATTGCAAAAAAATTTTTTTTGTACTTTATATGCTAACATAATGGAAGAAAGTCCCAAACTGTTTGAAAGTTTATAAATATTATCAAGGTCAAGCCAAGGTTATGATAAACCTGCAGTAGAAATTTTTAGAATAATTAGGACTGAATCATTCTGATGTTTGTAATTTTTAGAATAACTTGGCTATTGAGCATAAAAAGAATGGTCTACAAACTGCTTCAGTGGGCACAAGAAGACGTCGCCGTAAA